TTTTGTCTCTTTCTGCTTGTCATCTGCACATGTAAAAAATATTGAGTGAGTATCTTTTAACTTAAACCTCGTCACTATTTCACCGAGGTTAGGCAAGAAACTTACCGAATACATTGGGTCTATTGTACTCATACTACACTTCTGTACCTTGTGTGCAAATCTTGGAGTTGTGTAGCTATGGAAGACGGAGCCTTGCATTGAATACGTACCTGCATTCCGGATTCAAGTTACCTCTTGTTCATGGTAGTATAGAATTCGTCTCTGTTTATGTTAACTTCAAACAGATATTGTATTTATTCTTCATATTGACTTTGTCAATCTATATCATAGTGGCTCATGACTTGTACTACTAGTTCTTGAGAGGTTGCATAGAATTCAGTTATTTACTTCTTGTTGTTAATAATCTATTATTTGAGTTACCTTGTTCTATGTTTGGCTTATCTAACACTGGGGTTAGGTGTCATCATGACTATATGAATTTTTGGGTCGTGACACTCAGAATTGAGAAATCTCTGCAAGTAGTCTCTTGAGTAAATTGATGCTAAAAAAATTGGATAGCTTCAGCAGCTATGTCCCCACTATTTTCGAGCCATGTTCCATCTTGCTTATGGATTCTAGTCAAGTGCAATTTCTTCCTCCTAGAGTTTATTTCAGAGTGAAGAAACCTGATGTTGCTATTTCCATCTGTGAACCACATTAGTCCAATCTTTTGTCTCCAAAATGACTCTTCCTTCTTAATGTGTCTAATGAAGTATACATTTATATTAATATTATTGTATTCCATTCTGTAATTAGCTTCAGAATTGTCAACCAAACAATTTTATTCTAACTCCTCAACCTTAGATTGTAGCTCTTTGGTGTTATCAAAAATAATACCAATTGTGTTTTTGGACCAGTAAGAGAGCCTTTTGCATACGTTTTTGAACTTAAGATGGAATTTCCGCATAGGACCCCCATCCACTTGTATTTGCCAAGCATCCTCAACCATTTGCATGAATCCTTCTTGTTCAGTCCAAAGGTCAAGGAATCTGAAATACTTCTTAGGTTCCATGTGAGGATTGGAAGTGGAAATAAGCAGTGGTGCATGGTCATAACCAATTCTGACTAGATGAGTAATTCAAGTTTCTGCAAATGCCGGAATCCACTCATACAGATAAGTTTTCACTACTCATATTACACTCTTTATTACACTCTGAGTTAAATTGTAATTGAAAAGTTATACATATACTGCATGTATATATTGACAAGAAGTCATCCGTTACTAGGATTAGCACATTAGATCAAAATAATGTCAAGTGATGGATAAATTATCTGAACGAAAGATTATTTTCCTAATTCACTGATCAAGAGATTGAAAGGAAACTAGAGGAGAATAGATAACTGCTAGAAAGTTTATGTTATTCCTCCTCCTGGATTTCCTTCTCTACTCTTGCAATTGTGTATTATCGCCACAAAGAAGAGCTTTTGGGTTTTTCAGAGAAGATGGGATCAGGACTTAATAAATTTAAAACTTTCTATTTCCTATCCGTTGCAACTAGTATTTGGGTATTTTTGCTTTAGCTGTTTTCATTCTTTCTGCAGACAAATGCACTTTTGACTGTTAGGGACTGACATAATTGATGCAACATGTCGAACAAAAAGAGAAAACAAATTTAAAACATAAAGAAGTAAAATAAAATGAGAGGATAGAAAATTATGTGTATGCATTTCGATTGGGGACTAAGGATAAAATTGTGTGCCACGTCCTTGGTTCAATCATGACTGGGAAAGTATATAATTCAAAGCCCATGTATTGGCTGCTGAAATTGGGAGGACAAATATCCACAAAAACCTAAAGTATCTTTTCCTACTATAAAGGTGGAAGATGAATCCTGTCCAAGAGAAGTGAAGAAAAAGCTAGCAAGACTATTCAAGTCTTTGAGCATCCAAAAAAAATGTCCATGTATAATATAATGAGTAAAGTAGTTAATTAGAACATTTTTCTCACATATTAGGCTTTTTCTTTTTCCTATAGCAAGGAAATTATTTCCTTCGTCCTCACCCTCAAACATGAATTGGAATTTATAAAAATGAAACCTTTGATTTCAATGTGAATTAAGACACAAGATTTTTAGAAATTCGACATTTTGAAAGAATTTAGCTGTTTATGAGAGGTATAGTTTACGTTGGCGTACTGAGACTCACATCTTATCTAGTAAACGGCAACTTACAAGGTACGGATTTTTAAGCTTTTAGGGTTAGTTTAGTTGGAAAATAAATTATTCCAAAATTAATTATCTCGAGATTAGTTGTCCTATGATTGTCATCCCGCCCTCCTATAGGGATAAAAACTCCCAAATTCAAATACACAATGATACTTCCTTTGCAGTGAAATCAACACCCAACGACGGCATATGATAAGATTGCGGCGACAGAGATGACTACATCAAGTCCTAACGCCAGTGAATCTCTTCTACAAGACTACAACCTTATTGTTATTCATGTAGTATTTATAATCTTGATAAGTTCATACGTCATCTTCAAACCATTAATTAAAACACTCATGAAAATTTATGCATAAATATGTATTCATAGTCTATTATATCAATATAAAAACTGAGTCATTAACACAAAGAGATATAGAGAGAAGTTGATGGCAGAGTTACTTTAGCTAATTCACCTATGCACTCATTGTATAGTGTAAAGAATATGAGTGTCTTTCTCTCTTTACTTTCTCTGCCTAAAAAGAAATGCTTTACAAATAAAATTACACTTTATGTAGGAGTTCGTCATAGCTTAAAACGTATAGAGACGAAGAAGCATGTATGAATATATACATACACACACATATAAAAAAAATATATAAATACAGAAATTAATATGTAGATACAAATTGCAGCAGCAACAATAATACGAGCAGCGTATACAACTGGTGACAGAATTAAAGGAGAGGCGAGGGAATAAGTTCCAGTTCTACAATTAGATATTGGTATATGTATGTATAGCCTCTAGATATATATTTGTTTGCTTTGGAGTTGGAGATAATGAAAATAATACAGATGGTTCGCCGAGTTGGGTATAGGGAAAGTTTTGCTACCTTCTAGTTTCTGTTTAACTTTTTCCATTAGCTAGACCATATCTGCTCATTTTTTTGTAGACGATATGTGCTCCAGCTCATGTGCATACAGCATATATATTTAAGGAGTAAAAATAAACTTTTATCATACATAAGGAATATTATTTTCTAATAGCAAGCGGGCTAAACTATTACAAAGGTAATTTCTAATTTAACAGCTGATAATACAAAAAATGGAGGGGGAAATAATTGGACTATTTCTCATTTTCCGCATGTCATCCTTGCACAAGGGTAACTTGTGTAATCTATATAAGTAGCCCAACAGTTTGTAATGACTCTTATTATTATTATTATTATTATTATTATTATTATTATTATTATTATTATTATTATGTACAAGTTTGTAATGACTCTTAGTAAGTATTAATATTAGTCTCTTTTTAACCTTAAAAATATAGCAAGATATTTTGATTACAATATTCCAGAAATAGAAGGGACAGTGAACATAACACTAGACTCATTTCTTTAATTAATTACAATATACTGGTGAGAGTCTGTATAACCCTCGCCATATACAAGGTAATTTATTTTGCGTGGCTTTGCTTTTTGTGTGTGCACGCGTGCGCAGAAAAGGCCATAACATGATTTCCTAACAAATTCTGATTTACAAAAATATTAGGCCTAACTGCCTGGAAACCCAATCCTTACATGGAAAAAACATGGAATTGTTTTTTGGATTAGCTTGATTTATAACTGTAAATTGTAAATTAGTATTAATTTTAAAACTAATTAAAATTTAGTCACTTTTTCATGCGGAGGTAATATTTGGACAAGAATACCTAACTTAAATAGTGCAAAGACTCTAGCGAGATTGTGTTTATCTTTTTAACTTTCTTCGAACTTCAGCAAAAATTGAAAGTAGAATTATAGGATTGTGTCTAGTTTGAGTTCTAGCATTGTTCTTGGAGTTCCAATATAATATGCTAAAATTTAACTTTTAAAAGTTTAAACACCCGCATATTCACATACAAAGCTTCTTTGAATTCCAGCACAAATATGATGGAGTTTTATACAGTTTCATAATCCATCAAATTATGCTGAATTTTTTTCGTGTTTCACATAAGGATATTTTGTCTAGATTTTATCTCCGCATTAAATAATGACTATTTTTTAATTACTTCACAAATGTGGGCTATTTTTGAATTGTCATGCTATTTTGACGAAAAGCATATAAGCCAATCATGGTCCACATTATCAGCATTTCCAGCTTATAGAAACAAATAAATTGGATTCATCTGATTATAATATATACTGTACAGATAAATGGTACAACCCACCAAGACAATATAAGCCTATAAAACAGCTTCCAAAGCAATTTATATTCTGTTGATTCGGATCACAGTAATTGATCTTAAACAACAAAAACAATCCATTATAATTCCACTAGTGGGATTTAGGAATGGTAGTGTGTACGCAGACCTTACCCCTACCCTGGGATAGAGAGACTGTTTCCGATAGACTCTCGGCTCTCTACCCGAACTCCTATTGATCTTCTATGTAACACTATTAGAGCCAGAATTAGTAGCACCATTGTATTATTGATGCCAAATGGCAAGCATTGGTTGGTCTCTCCATCACCTTTCGATCCCTTTTGTGCTGAGAATAAAAGAGAATCAAACCCCTCCAACAATTTAATGCATGAGTTGTAAGCTTAGTGCCTCTATGGATTGGAAGATGACATAATAAAAGCGCCTTATATTATGGGACCTTTTCCTTTTTGGATATCAAATCAAACCCCTCTTACACCAAAAACGTTAGCCAAGAGTAAAGGTGCTTTGTTATTTAAAGAAATTGAAAAGAATACACAATAAAAAGAGACCTCCACTAATGCACCTACTTTCCTACTCTTGCTCTTGCTATATAAATATGTAAAAGTGCTCTTTATTTCATTGTGAAGTAGAACTAGCAAGTTCTTGAGTTGTTAGCGAGTAAGAGAGCAAGACAAGGCATTTCTCTTTCTTTGGAAAAAAGATGGCTGATTTTTCTGGTCACTGGGCTTTTACATTTGGTGTCCTCGGTAAATTCCTTTTCGTTTTGTTATTATAATTAGAATCGAAGTGTACACGACATCTAATTACCATTATGGAACAAATTAAATACAAAAAATAATGTAATAATTAGTTCCATTTTCTTTTCCCATTTTAGTATATATTATTAAAACTTTTTAATTATTTCCTTATGTATAGTATGATTTGAGAAATAAATATTAGTAAAACCGTATGTTATAACCGATGTAATATTGCTAATTGAATTATCTAAATAAAATACTCATACGTTCCAAAAATAGTGGAATAGTAATCATTTCATCTTACTTGCATATTCCTTAATCATTTATGTAAATCATTGTATTGATGAATGTGGGGATTTGTCTTTTCTTGGCTTCCATTTTGCAGGAAACATTGTCTCATTTTTCGTTTTCCTTTCTCCACTGTATGTCTTCAGTTCCTTATGTTCGTTTTCATCCCTCTTTCAAAGTGTATTTTTCTTACAACTTGTGCAATTAATTAATTTTCATAGTTATGTGCGCAGGCCAACTTTTTATAAAATATATAGGAAGAAATCAACAGAAGGCTATCAATCAATTCCGTACGTGGTTGCTCTATTCAGTGCAATGCTTTGGATTTACTATGCGTTTCTCAAGTCCAACACCACCCTTCTCATCACTATAAACTCTTTTGGTTGTTTCGTTGAAACTATATACGTTGGCTTCTACCTTTTCTATGCACCAAAGAAAGCACGGGTAAACTTTTTTACAAGAAAATCTACTACTAATTCTTTCTCAAGAGTTCTATAGAAAGAAAATAAAAATCCGGACCTCTTCAATTATTGCAGGTCCAAACTGTAAAGCTACTGCTTTTATCAGTATTTGCAGGGTTTGGAGCTATTGTCCTTGTTACTCAGTTTCTATTCAAAGGAGTTGTTCGTGTGCAAGTTGTTGGATGGATTTGCCTTGTGTTTTCCTTATGTGTATTTGTATCCCCATTATGTATAATGGTAAGTTTATACATGCTAAAAAATCAATATATTCTCAAAAGCTTTCTACCCTAATTGCTTCTTTGTTTTATGAATGGAAATTATAATGTTCATTTCTCATTTAATGCAGAGACAAGTTATTAAAACAAAGAGTGCGGAATACATGCCATTTTTCCTCTCTGTTTTTCTCACTTTAAGTGCTGTTATGTGGTTCTTCTATGGTCTTCTATTAAAAGACTTCAATATTGCTGTAAGTTGTAATTTCATTTCCTACTCTTGACTTTCATGCATCTATATTTCTTGAACTCTAACACTAATATTTTTCTTCACTGAATAGATTCCAAACGTATTGGGATTCATCCTTGGTATCCTCCAAATGGTGCTCTATGTCATGTACAATAAGAAAGAGGAAGTCATTGTAAAGGAGCACAAGTTTCCTGAGCTACAAAATCATGTCATAATCTTACACAATGACAAGAATCTCCCAGAACTAACTGAAGAACAGATTATTGATATTGTTAAACTTGCTTCATTGATTTCATGTACAGAGAAATTTAACGTTGCTTCATATCTGCATGAAAATGTAGCTGAAGTAGCTAAAGATCATAGGAAGCTGCCCAAGCTGCAACCGGTGGAAATTAATCTGAGACTTGGCTAGTAAATCATTCGCTAATTTGCCGCTTCGCGTATATCACAAAATGCACATAAATTTACATTATATATATACACTGATAGATACAATTAATGAGGACTGTTTTGGATCTATTTTCAGCTAGCTACATGTAATTAATACGAACTTGATGACGGATAAACTGAATTGTATGTATTAAATTTCTCAGTTAATTTAAGCTCTGGTGTCCGTCCCTACTCGTGTATACAAATTGTGTTATATCAAATTAATTTTGACAATTTTCGTGCTTTCTTATATTAGAATCATGTCAATACTCTATTTTAGAAACTATGGAAGATTTGATACCCATCTATTATAATCCATTATTTTAGTTCAAGTTTTTTTGGTTTTACATTGGATTATCGTTTTATGCATTCTGATTTCTATATGCGTGGTTGTATGCGGGGATATGTACAGTATATTGGGAGTTTTTTTTAACATCAAGATAAACTTGAGATATCTGTGCATTCTCCACTAGATTGTTGGTAAAATAATTTCTGCTTGTGATGTCTAAGTATATTAAACCTTTAAATACCTGAAATGCGCACTTTCAATCCTCTTGCTTGTGAATATTCAGATATTTCCAGAATTACTAACCCTTCCCTTCCATCAGTTAATTACTCATGTGTTATGTTAAGCTTGTACTATTACTCCATATTTGAAAGTAATTAATATACTTCTAAAAATAGTCCAAATATTTTATATCTTCTATATAGGGTGGCCAAAAGTAATGTTTACCCGTAAAACAGTACAATTGCATTTATAGCGTGGTTTATAGACAAGCGAATCAATTTGATCCAAAATAATAAATAAATTAAATAAAAATATAAGACTTGGCGTTGAAATCGAGATAAAATAGCAGACAGCTTGGTTCCGGGAACAAACCTTTCGAAGACAGCAATAAGAATATTGTTAGACAGAAAATAAAGGATTATTAATGTGTAGCATAAGTTTGTTAGAATTTTTATGTCTTACCATGGTTGTTGAAGCCACTATTTATATCTAAACCTAGGGAACAAGGTCCTAGGATCAAACCTCTCTTAAATGACAATAATGAGGGTCATTGATGAATATGTAACGGCAAGCAATGAATGCCAAAATTCTCTGTAACAAACGTATATTCAATACTGAGGAATATTCTTTATTGAATGTCATCCGGCAGCAAATATTTGTTTGCCCTCGTTAACAATGTTCCCTTCGGGGTCTACCCGATTCCAACCGAAGTTGTTGTCCTCGGTCTTGGTTTTCACTCGCTTCGACTTCCGTCTGTCCCCGGTTCCACGTGTCACTCTATCATTCGAGTATTTAATATGAATCGATTTTACCATATACAGATAGCCCCCCTGCTTTTTGGTGCCATATCTTTGTGTTACCGGAAAGTTGGTGAAGATTTCTTTCTTGGCGAGAAATTCTCTCAACCCTTCTGAAAAGCTTCTGATGCTTGATAAGACGTGCGTCTCTTCGTATTTAATACCCCGAACACGTATTACTCCACGATTTAGCAATATTTTCATCGGTTCTCGAGGTAATCATGGTTACGATTTTAGCCGCCTATTCCTTTACTTATACGCCTCATTCTTCTTCTTTTACACTTAACAGTTCTACAAATTCTCTCAACTTCTTTACATTCAACTCTTTGGTGTTTTCATCTTTCTTTACAGAACTCTTACCACCTTCTACTGATCATGGCTTCCTTTAATAACTCTTCCAAGAATTTCAGTCTTCTCTTCGGTGGGGGTTCGAAGGAGAACAAAGACAAAGAAATCGATGTTGATGTTGACTCCCCTACGGTGAGCACCATCATCCCAAAACGACTCAACACAACCAAGGACTTCGAAGAGAAGTTCCCTTCTTCAAGTTCTCGCACTTGGGCTGTTAGCATATACCTTTCTTCTATTTGCCCTTCTAGCATTTCTGCTGTGAAAGAGGACTGTGATTGCCATGACCTGAACATCATTACTCCCGAACTGGCAGAGCGAGTAACCTTCACTAAGAAGGGCTTCATGTATATTTATATGTACCTATTCATTTTGGGTGCGTTTTCTTTGAGCGGGGGACTAGACCCCGTGATTTTGGAGCTGTGCCAACGATACCAAGTTTGTTTGGCATAGGTTGTCCCTTCGGTATGGAAAATGGTGTCCTGTATGCGGCGGCTGTGCCACGAAGCACAAGAGGAGTTCACCTTAGCTCATATGATAAATTTCTACTCCCCCAAGATCTTTCCGTGAGAGGGGAAGGGTAATACAATTTCAGCAAATGTGGCCACCATGTTTTGCTTACCACTATGGATGACGACAACGACTGTGGATGGATGGAGTAGTTTTTCGTTGTTGCCACTAGGGATATCATCCCAGCCACAACTACATCTTTCTCTGAGTCTTGGACTCGTACATGTAAGTTCAAAGTCTGTCTTTTTCTGAAGAAAGGTTGTTTCATGTCGTTGCTGATCTTTCTTCTTTTATTATTTCAGTAACTCGATGGATACCACCAATGGTTGAAGGCCTGGACCGATGGGTTCAGAAGATTCAGAACATCACCATGCCTGAGACTCGTCGGTAGAAAGAAATGGCCCTCAAATACGGATGGAAGGCCAAGAATCATGGTAAGTTGACTAATTCTTCCCTCATTTCATCTTCGTGGATAAGAAAATTGGTTAACCTCTTTTTTTGTTGGATTGAGGTCTCTTGTAGGGCTCTGTTACCATCCCTGAGGAGGATGTTTTGAGGCTGCAAGGTTGCTGAAGGAGGATCTCACCCGAACAGGCACCATCGGATTTGCTTCCGGTGCAAGCGCTTCCTCTCGAAGTCCTTGGCTGGAGAACAAGCAACCAAAAAGGCGGCGTTCTTCCTCGGCTGAGGGCAAGAATAAAAAGGTGAATAAATTTGTGCCTGAGCCTGCCATAATCACCGTGGTGATGATGATGGGGAAGCCAGTGATAAAGGGGCTTCCCTACAAAGGAGACAACATCTTTCATCAGCTCAACAGAATACTCAATCTAAAGAGCTTATAAACCCAACCGCAAGCGCTCTAGGGAGAGTTTGACCTGGTGGAGAATGCCAATTCTCCCTTTTCGGTCCCAGCTGCTACTCCTGGTAATGTGAGGCCAAGTACCGGGCCTCATCCATCTTCGGTTGGTGAGCAACCAACAACCAGCATTGCCTCTGCTGCAGCTACTTCTCAACCCATAACACCATCAGCTTCATCTCCTTCTACGCCGGTTATACCTTCATCACTAGCAACTGCTACATTACCCCCACCGGCCATAGACACACCCGAGAGGAGGATGTTCCTCCTCCCCAGTCCCCAGACCATGGGAATTCGGGGCACAACTATTCTCCCACTTTTGCAGATCCCCAGAGGAGGAGGAGTGTCTCCCTCTCAGTATCTATTGAGTGCAATCTGATGTCCCGACCTATGGAACTTGCCAATTATCTCAAGCCGATGGCTTCAGAAAATGATAAAAAGACGATACACTCTCTCTGGAGAGAGTGTTTGTTAAACAATGGCATGCATAATGCAGCAACGGTAACATACTTATTCTATTTACTGCTTGTTTCTTCTTTATTTGCTATGACAAAGTTTCTAATTTGGGTTTTTTCTTCGCAGGCCAACTTTCTTACTTCCGAGGGCCTTCAGAAATTGATCCTCGATAAAGGAAAGCTTAAGTCCGAGCGGGATCAACTGTTGGCTGAGAGGGACCAAATTATTGCTCGTCTCCCAGTGCTAGAAGAAAAAGCTGTTGAAGCTAGTGAGTTAGAGGCTCGGCTGCAATAGAGTGAGCAGGAAGTGATGACCCTCAGCCAAGAAGCCTCTCACCAAAATGTACAGTTTCAAGAAGCCAAGGCTAAATGGTATGAGGTCCAGAATGTTGTGCTTGCTACTGCCGAACGCGAATCTGCCTCCATTGAGAGATTGAATAACTTGGAGAAAGCCTTGAACTCCCAAGCTGAAGAGGCTGTTGTTGCCGAGGATAAGCGTGCCCAGATGGAGGATAGGTATAAGAGGATCATGGAACACAATAAGGTTCATTTAACCATTATCTATGATCTTGATCTTAGCCTTAGCGCCGCAAGATCCGAGCGGGATGGCCTTTCGACTGAGGTTGAGCGGCTTAAATCTGAACTTCAGTGCCGAGTGGATTCCCTCATTATTGAAAAAGCATATTCTATGTATAGCATGAGTAGAAAAACCTTGGAAGAGGCTGAAGCGGGCGTCATTTATATTGATGATAAAATCGCTAAGGCCCAAGAGCTGGAGTCAACCGCTCGAAGATGCCTCCTTGCTCAGCCTGATGCAACTGACTCTTCTGGTTCCGATTTCGAATTCTCAGGAATCGAGGAGAAACTTGAAGAGAATAATAATGAAGGCCAAGATCCCGAGCCGACGGTATATCCGCCTACTTGTCCTGGGGGTGTTGATGTTTCTCTTCCCCCGTGTTCTGGAGGCGACATAGTTTAGCTTTTGCTTTCTTTTCCTTTATTGTTTTCTTTTTGAATTTTTGTACTTGTGCTGCTTGGCACGCTTGATAAATAAAAGTGATTTTTGTTTAAGCATTGCGCAAAGCTTACTTTTTTGCATCGAATTATGCAAGGCTTATGTTTATGGTAAGGGTTTCATAAGAGTCGGCCCTCTTATTTCTACGGTGCTCTTGAAGAGGACGTTTCATGTTCATTCCGGTACTAGCATTTAAAGTACTTAATTAACTTCAAATGATAAAATCAATTCATCGTTTGGACAAGAAACAAGATAAAAATAAAAGGACTTTATTTTATTCCTTCTATCTTCAATAATACATAAGCATTCGTTTTGCTTAAAGAAATTGCCATTACATGTGCAGCTAATTTGTGCAACTTATTTCTATGGGGCTGGTTGTGCAGTCCCCGGTCCCGATGAGATATTTTTGTTCTGAATTTTATAGTCCCGATTTCTGTGGCAATCAGATTGTCGTATTCTCATATCATTCCCCCTCCCCCCACTGTTCGAATGCGAAGAATGCGAATTGGAACATTAGAAGTCTTGCTCCTTTGAGGATTCCTAGTGAATGGTTGGATAATCTTTGGTCTGATAGCAAGCTCCGTTTCCCGTTAGGAACTTTGCTATCAATCCAAAGATTATCTAACTACCCCGTAGTGTCTTGTAGGGAAAACACTTGTAAAGGGTTGAATAGCCTTTGGTGTGGTGGCAAGTTTTGCTTCCCATTAGGAATTTGCAACCGGGACAAATACTATTTAACCATCTCGTAGTGGTTTTTCATTTTGAT